CCTGGCAGCCAAGTGAGTTGATTTTCCCGGAACCATTCGGACTCTTCAACGTGCACTGCACACATGCTCGCGCACGCACGCCCTCCAAGTTGGGCGGGATACGAGGGCCACGATTCGGAGTGCTACCTCAGGGAGCGTCTGGTTTCGCTGGGCGGCCGGGATCGCCATGCCCAGATTTCGGGAGGGGCAAAATCACACAGACACAATTTTCGTCGACTCCCAGGCAAATGTGGGAAAATATGGGAGGTGGGGGGGCAGACGAGAACCCAGAAAATCTGAGGGGCTGCGGGGAAGCCTAGGATTTGCGTCTGCTCACTTGTGCGTCCCTGGGTCCCCTTCAGCTTCCGTGGCAGCACGACAGAGATACCAAGGCTGCATACACGGTTCTCCAAGGAGGGATGCCCGGCGCGGACCGTCCTTGCACGCTCTCCCACCTCGGCCCGGCATAGCCCTCGAGATGGGTACAGTCGGGGCGCTGAAGAAGGAACCCTTTTCGTTGGGGAGGGGCTCCGTGTTCCTTGAATGTTTCACAGTTTGCCTTGGGTTTTCCTCAGGTTTTCGATGGAAATCGAAGTTCAACTTGTGGATGAAAGGGGCCTCGTTCCTTATTTCGGGTTCCTTAGGTTAACGCCCCGACTGTACACTCAGCCCGCATAGTAAGAATTCGACTGCACGCAAGAGTGACCTCTCGCCGGAGGGGCCTTAGGTGCGGGCCCATTGGATGGTCCCCGATCGCCGAACGCGATGCGATAGTTGCGCCTTGCGCGCTCGGGGTTGGCCCTCCCGCGGCCCCCGAAAGCCGCCGCTCTCGCTGGCCGCGCCCCGCTCGCAAAGTGTCGAAGTGGCCTTCCAAGGCCCCTGCATCCTCCTCGAGCGTCCTCCCTATATGTGCTGACTGTACCGTGAAGGAAAGGGTCCTGAGGCACACGGGTCTTGCGGTCTTCCCCAGGTTTCGGGCTCCTGGGGACCTCCTCGGGCCCCAGGACTGCCAACAGCACAACTCAGGATGACGAGCTAGTCTTGAGGGAAGGCCCCGGGGTCCAGGACCCGCTTCCCTCAAGACCTGTTTCTTCCATGCCGAGCCCCTTCCTCCTGACAGACGAGTCCTTCCACGAGGATGGTGACGGCGTCATTCTGCTGCCCCTGCGGCGACCGGTCGGGCTTGGCGAAGGACCTCCCCATGCCCCGACGTCGTTTTTCCCAACCACCATCCCCAACTGGTGTGGGTGGGGGTTGGTTCCTCGTTGTGAAGAGAAGGTGCCCCTTTTGAAGAGACGGTGGCCCGCGTCTCCTCTCCTCCTCCTTTCCTCCTCCTCTCCTCTCCTCCTCCTCTCCTCCTCCTCCTCCTCCTCCTCCTCCTCCTCCCACCATCATCGTCATCGCCCATTTCGGCGCGCCCCTCACTCGTTTCGTGGCCCTATGGGGAGCTCCACCGAAGGTCCCAGGGGTGTGCCCGCATGCGTCCCACACACCCATTTCGGCACACCCCTCATACGTTTCGTGGCCCCATAGGGGGCTCCACCGAAGGTCCCAGTGGGTGTGCCCGCATGAGTCCCGCACACCCATTTCGGCACACCCCTCACACGTTTCGTGGCCCCATAGGGAGCTCCACCGAAGGCCCCAGTGCTGCCGTCCGCATGCGTCCCGCACACCGATTTCGGCACACCCCTCACACGTTTCGTGGCCCCATAGGGAGCTCCACCGAAGGCCCCATGGCTGCCGTCCGCATGCGGCCCGCACACCCATTTCGGCACACCCCTCACACGTTTCGTGGCCCCACAGGGAGCTCCACCGAAGGCCCCAGTGCTGCCGTCCGCATGCGTCCCGCACACCCATTTCGGCACACCCCTCACACGTTTCGTGGCCCCCTAGGGAGCTCCACCGAAGGCCCCATGGCTGCCGTCCGCATGCGTCCCGCACACCCATTTCGGCACACCCCTCACACGTTTCGTGGCCCCATAGGGAGCTCCACAGAAGGTCCCAGTGAGTGTGCCCGCATGCGTCCCCCACACACATTTCGGCACACCCTTCACACGTTTCGAGGCCCCATAGGGCGCTCCACCGAATGTCCCAGTGGGTGTGCCCGCATGCGTCCCGCACACCCATCTCGGCACACCCCTCACACGTTTCGTGGCCCCATAGGGAGCTCCACCGAAGGCCCCAGTGGCTGCGCTCGCATGCGGTTCCACCCCCCATTCTCGCACACCCCTCACTCGTTTCGTGGCCCCATAGGGAGCTACACCGAAGGTCTCAGTGGGTGTGCCCGCATGTGCCCCGCGCACCCATGTCGGCCCACCCCTCACACGTTTCGTGGCCCCACAGGGAGTTCCACCGAAGGTCACACTGGGTGTGCCCGCCTACGTCCCGCACACCCATTTCGGCACACCCCTCACACGTTTCGTGGCCCCACACGGAGCTCCACGGAAGGTCCCAGCGGGTGTGCCCGCATGCGTGCCGCGCACCCATTTCGGCACACCCCTCGCACGTTTCGTGGCCCCGAGTTTATCCGCTAGGCCTGACCTGAGGAGCGGCCCGCCACAGCCGCGCCTTCTCTCGGTTGTCCAACTGTTTGGCCTCGCGCCGCGGACGCCCTGCGCGCGTCGCTGGGGCCCTCTCGGGGCGATCAGCGCGCGTCGCGCGAACTCCGCGCTGCGCTCTGTCCAGCGCCTCGCTCGCCCGTCGTCGCTCCGCCCGGCGGCCAGAGCCATGCGCGCTATCAGTTAGCCAACAAGCAATCTGTGCTCCACGCAGCGCACGAACCGTGCGCGTCACTGTGACCCCTTCGGGGCGACCTGCGCGCGTCGCGAGGGCACCGCCTTGCGCTGCGCCCGCAGCCTTGGACTTTGGAGTGCGCGGGCAAAGGAAAAGGAAAAGGAGTGGAGGAAGCGGGCGCGATCCTCGTGTGGGGCGTGCCGACATGGGCGTCGCGGCGCGCGGGCGCTGCCTCGGGGTTCCCAGGGAAGCCCCCTGCAGAGGCTACGCCACACAATTCGGCGCACCTTCATACTGTTCGTGGCCCCATAGGGAGCGCCACCGAAGAAGATATTCACAATTGCGGTACTCACAATTGCATATGGTTGGGTCTTTCGCCAGGATAAGTTTGTTGTTGTTGTTGCTGTTGATGTTGTTGTTGTTGTTGTTGTTGTTGTTGTTGTTGTGTTGAACATTATTAATTCTAAAGAATAATTATTGTTGGGCCCCCTGGTGCGCGCCCCCCCCGCCGCGCCTAGGCCGCAGCCACGTTTTCATCATTTTCGTGAGGAAGCCTCAGGTAATTCGAGGTGATCAAGATCCGGTTGTTTTGTTGTAGTCCGTTTTCCCTTGCAAAAAACACTATAAAATGACATTTCTTGTTCTAATATAATCAAATTTCAAGAATCCTTTGCAAAAAATAAGGTAAAGTGGACATTCGCGCGCGCAAGACGAAATCCTTCCAAAACCTTAGTGTTCGCAGCGATTTTAACATAAAAACATCAAAAAACCAATGGTTTTTCAACAAAAAAATGTCAAATCTCATCCCGCGCGCTCTTGCGGATTCGTAGGAAACCCAACACTTTTTAAACATTTCTGTCAAACGGGCTTTTGCGAGCAACTTTTTCGAACTTCTGCGACAACGGTTGCGCACCTGCCAGGGCCATCATCCCTGTCAAATAATACATGCGGGACACATTCGTTTTTTCTTCGCGCGCGCACGCCGTCGTCGTCGGCCGCGGGCCCTGAATAGTAGCCACGGTCGTCCGCATGCCACGAAGTGAAGTGTCCGAACGTCATAGGGCGGGAAGCTGGGTGTGGGTGGTGGCGAAGAGTCGTTTGGAAATTTGGTAGAGCTTGAACCGGCCCCCCCACAAAGTGGGGGTACTGCCCGCCTCCTATGAAAACCCTGGCACTGGTGAGAACGGAGTGTCCCCACGTGCTAGTAATTGTTGTTGTTGTTGTTGTTGTTGTTGTTGTTGTTGTTGTTATTGTTGTCGTTGTCGTTGTCACTGTCGTTGTCGTTGTCGTTGTCGTTGCCGTTGTGGTTGTTGTTGTTATTGTTGTTGTTGTTGTTGTTGTTGTTGTTGTTGTCGTTGTCGTTGTCGTTGTTGTTGTTGTTGTTGTTGTTGTTGTTGTCGTTGTTGTTCATGTTGCTGTTGCTTTTGCTGTCGTTGTTGTTGTCGTCGTTGTCGTTGTCGTTGTCGTTCTCGTTGTTGTCGTTGTCGTTGTCGTTGTCGTTGTCGTTGTCGTTGTCGTTGTCGTTGTCGTTGTTGTTGTTGTTGTTGTTGTTGTTGTTGTTGTTGTTGTTGCTGCTGCTGCTGCTGCTGCTGCTGCTGCTGTTGTTGTTGTTGTTGTTGTTGTTGTTGTTGTTGTTGTTTTTTTTCCCAACCAACCTGCGTTGTTGGGTCCTCGTTTTGACGAGACGGTGGCCCGCGTCTCTCCTCCTCTCCTCCTCTCCTCCTCCTCCCCCTCCCCCTCCTCCGCCGCACACCCATTTCGGCACACCCCTCACACGTTTCGTGGCCCCATAGGGAGCTCCGCCGAAGGTCCCAGTGGGTGTGCCCGCATGCGTCCCGCACACCGATTTCGGCACACCCCTCACACGTTTCGTGACCCCATAGGGAGCTCCACCGAAGGTCCCAGTGCGTGTGCCCGCATGCGTCCCGCACACCCATTTCGGCACACCCCTCA